CCCCCCCCCACAACTTGACCTCTTCCCCTGCCCTTCCAGTCTATTTCTTTCTCATTTCAAGCTCCTAGGCTTCAGTCCTGACCAGAGGTAGGCAAGTATTTAAGCTGGAGGGCCACTTAATGAGTTGTGGTGAATTGTTGACAGCCACACACACGGACATGTGCTCCCACCTTCCTTCCACTGAGCTCCACCATGCAACACGTTCCCCCTCTACCACACTGTGCTCCACACTGCACATACTGACGCTTTCCCATTTGCCATTTTCCCCCACTCTACTCCATCACACTGTGCACATGGATACTTCCCCTCCCCCTTCCCACCCCTGCCTCTGCTGCACCATACTGTGTATGCTACGCTGCACTGCTCCACACCACGCAGAGGTGCTCCCCCTGCACAGCACCTTGTGTATGGCTCCAGCCCCCAACCTGTCCCGCCACGGGATAGTGGCAGGATACAAAAGCTGGAGAAGGGACAGGAAGCCTGGAGACTCTCCACAATGCACCAGGTTGGGTGGAGGTGTTCTTTCAAGTGTTGAAGAGCAAGAAAATGTCTCCTTGCCCTCAGTACAGACACCCAGATCTGAGAAATCCTTGTTCAGCCCCATGGTGAAGCATGCCCTGCTTAGACTGGTAAAATTGTCAAGGAAACTTCCCCCTAAAAAAACCCCAAAAAACCAAAACCATAAGGCAGCTTTATTGAGCACGTGAAAAAACGCTACTTTTCAAAGACTGAAACTTGACCATTTAGTATATTTTGTTTTGTTTTGTTTTAAAGGGACAGCAAAAGACAGATCCCTAATGCCAAACACCCCCAGCAAATTTCTAGTTCCTACTGAAAAATATGGAGTGCTATAGCTTTTTGAAGACAAGGTCTTCAGATTTTTTTTATATGGAGTAAACAACATTTTCCCCTTTTACCCTGGCCCCATTCTTGGAAACAGTTGGATTTTTCCAATAAATATCAGCTGCAGGCAGACACCTGGGAAGTAACATTTTTGCCAAACTTTTAATGTTTGGGATAAGTTATAAGAAGCAGAAAATAGGGGCTGGGCTGGAAAGCGTGAGGCAAACTACCAGCTGCACGCACTGTAATAAGGGGGATGAAAACTGACACTCTGGCCTATAACACTTTCAGTCTGTGCTTCTCCAAACTATACCATAAACTCTTTCAGCACAGAAGACTCCATTATTTCAGTTTTCCGCTGAGCCTCTCTCCTGACTTTGTGCCTTGTGTCAGATTGCAACAACAGGACCAAATTGAAATAGGCCGCAGGGTGGATAAAAATCAACAATTTTTTAAAAATTAAAAAACAGGATTTTTAAATTTAAATCAGATGTCTTTATTTAATCACTTTTTTATTAAGATGATTAAAAAATAAACATATAAAGATAGTTTTAATTTAAGATATATGTTAAAGCTCAAAGATATCATCATGGAATAGGGATTATAACTTCTAATTATATACTATTTGAGACAATATATTCATATAATATTTTAGAAGTTTTATCAATAGGTCACAACAGGCCATGGACTATATTAGGGGCCCAATCTTATGGGGTTCCCAGAGGCTCCTCTATAGTTTAGTAAAGATTAAAGAAAACTAATCTACCCAATGGGATTCAGTACTCAGTCTCTAAAAGATGCCATTTAGCATCTCTGTAATGGTTAGTTTTAGTTCTCAAACTGCGGATTTGTGTCTCCAGAGATCATAGGCAGACAAGGGTCCTTGGGTAGATATGATATCTTTTATGAGACCAACTAAATAGTTGGAAAAATTGGTCTTTGCAAACTTTCGGGCACAAATGCCCTTCTTCAAGCACAGGGAGAGTTTATTGTCTCCAAAGATAACATCCTTGTTAACAGCAGTATATGGAGATGAGAGATAACAGACCTGATTACCCACCCATCAGCCCTACTGTCTTCCTGCGAATTTGTATACACACAGTCAAGCCCTTACCTTTCTCTAAAAGTGCAAAGTTTCAAGAAGTTAAATGAACAGAGGATATCAAACAAGAATACACTTTTTACAGAAAACAATGCTTAAATCACTGGCCAGTGATTCTAATCAAATCCACCCTGACAGGCAGTAGCATGTATGACTGCTATTCTGTAGAACTGCTGTGCAGGGTGAGGTGTATTGCCACTTCTACTGTAGCAGCAATTATTAGGCCGGCCTACATACATAGTTCCAAAACCCAAAGAATATACGGTTTCCTCAGAGTCTTGCAAATGTCAATTGTTACTGGAAGATGAATTCCTAGATGTTGAGATGTCTACGGACAAGAGATGGAAACAGAGGGGAGGACCAAGGCAGGCCCCCAACAACTATGGAGGAGCAAGTTTTATGAGCGACACAAAAGCAAACCCCAGAATACAGAATGGCATGATCATCTTAGGCTTTAGATCCAAAAGACCTGGATATATTAAGTAAATAAAGAACAGTGCCCTTGGAACAAAATAACACCAGTAATAAACATCAGTCAGAGCTGGATACAGAACCCGTGTGTAACAAACAGACACCAATATGTTAATCACAAAAGTGTGATTTCTCAGGTAAGAATTATTAAAATTAATCTTTCCATAAATAAATTGACAGCTGTCAAATCTGACAACCGTTTAAGCACCCCCCCCGCAAAAAAACCCCAGGATGTTATTAGTTTTAAATAATTTGACTGTAAACTGCAATAAGATTTAGCTGCTTTCTACAAAATACATCAAAATAACTCCCATCAGTCTTCTCTTGAAAGAAACATCACACAATATATTGCCATAGCTCAAATATTATTCAAGTAGGTAAGGTTTTTACTGGTTTAATTAATTACTTGTAATCTAAAACAAGGGTATCAAACTCATCTGCCCCCCCGCAGCTGCTGGTCTGCAGGTGGAAATGGCCCACAGACCAGCCCCACCTGCTAGATCCAGTGTGCGGGACAGATCTGGTATGTACTGCACATGGGGTGTGGGATGGGTTCAGATAACATGCTGTATACAGGGCTGGCCCCAGCCCAGACCCACATGCTGTGTGCAGTCTTGCACAGCACAGGGACAGTTCAGGGAGCGTGCTGTATGTGGCAGCTGTGCCAGACTGGCCTTGTATGCTGGATTCAGCACATGTGGCTGGTCTATGGGTTCGATATGGATTGGCCTCAGATCCAGGGTGCAGGGCCAGTATGGTGCAGGTGCCTCATACAGAGCATGGCCTGGATCAAC